AGAAAAAGAAAGTTGAACTTTTCGATTTGAAAACACGTTTTGGGTACTTTGATTTGGGATTTAAAAAAAAAACTTATTTTTCTATCATAACTTTCGGATTTCCATACAGCTAAAATGGTGTTTACTCAGTGTCCTATTTAGTAGAGAGTGTTTCTCCGATTTGTGTGGCATTTTTGAACTCTTCAAAGTTTTTATGTTTATCTATAAATATTTATATATAGTTATGCTGTTATTTGGCAGCGACCGCTTCGCGTATGTTATTTGACTACGTTCGTGCTGTTGTCTAATAAAAATATATACATATATTTCAAGCATGTGTAAATTGAAAATTTTTTTACAATTACAACTCGACAACTTTGTTTTGCTTAAGTGACGGATATTATATTCTGATTATATATTTGATGTAAGTTCTCATGCCCAGATATAAAAAAAATATATATATAAACTTGCTTTGTTTAACGAGTTTCCCATTATTTTTCGTCTTTTACGGCATGAAGAAAAGAAATTATAATTGCTAATGAAAGAAGCTTTAAAACTTAATTTTTAAAATATATAAATTTTTATACAATAATAATTACAAGCATTATTTTCAAAAATTTTTTCAATTTTTAATTTAACCAATTTTTATCATATGCTTACATTTATGTTTAAGGCATTTGAGCCTCTACTTAAGACCCAAATACAAGACATAATAGAAATCTTTGTTCGAAGAATCGTATTTAGTATATACATATAAATATTTGACACCTTTGCATCGACAAAAAAGTAAATAAATAAAAAAAAACATTTAACGGTCTAACAGGTTTTTGACTAATCTCAAGAGAGTCTTTATTTGTTATTGCTTTACGGGGTATTTAGTTCAAGTAAACTAATCACTTAATCATGAAGTTAATAGAGCATATTGGCTTGAACGACTATCCATATCGCTAAAACTTAATAAATTAGGAATTATAAATCAATATATTTTTTTCTTATAAACTATTACAATATATATTTTTTCACTACGCCCATTGTGCTTGTGGTAAATCGGGAATAACTCTATTTTGGGGTAACCAAAAAAAAATTGTTATTATATTTTGTAATGAAGTCATACATAGTTTTGTGTATAAGTAACTAACTAGGTAACGTAAAACTGAAATTTTGATTAATGTAGCTGTTTTTAACTTTTGACGAGAATGATGTAGTCAGTTGAGCTCGACTGTAAAGTTCTTATATTTTTTTTGTTTATTTTCAACTCTATAGTGAAGGCAGTTTCTTTAAGTAAATATTATATGCATACATATACATATATGAATAAGCTGATTATTTTTGGGTTTTGTTGCTCTAGCTCATTTGCTCAAATTGCATAATTAAATGCACGCAGACCTCAGCTTAACCAAAAGCAGCAATAACGGCTAGATTTAACAACAACTGTAATTATGGTCAGTTATTTGACCATGCAACTGCGTTTCTTTGCAACCGAAGGTGAAGCTAGTGATTGAAAACTGCCACGCCCTCAAGGTCCCCTTACCCAAACCACACCAAACCAACTGGCACCAAACCTTTTAGCCAGAAATTAGAGCTTACTCATTCAGTTTTTGGACTGTTCGGTTGATTACGCTGATCGGCTTATCATTTGCCGCACTAAGATTTATACAATACCATTCTTCTCTCCGATCTTATAGAAAATATTAGAATATAATAGAAATTGTCAATGTAATAGCTATTATTGAATGGGCAAGTAAAGTCACCTAATTTTTCCACAATATATAATTTGTCTATTCGATTTTTTTAGGAGCCTTTTTGAGAACTATACATAAATATTTATAATAAGCAATCAGGGGTTTATAGATGTATCTCAATTGTCTTAGCGATAACCTAAATAGCTTGCCTCATAATCTTTGTAAATTTTGTTTACATTGCGCGCTAATTTTCTGATATACTTTATTGCTACACATTGTAAGCAATAAATAATTTAATAGATAACCATGTTGTACAGGCTTGTGATATGTAAGGAAATAATTGCATTTAGTGTGAGCCAGTCATTTGATACTGCATGCGGTGCTTCCTTATGGCCAAAAATAAATGTCAAGTGACCTGGTCCAATCTGCATGCGTAATTGCTGGAGATTTTCAAGCATTTATTCCCGGTCCTTGACTTTCTGGTGGCAATGTCTGCATTACTCACACTGCACACACATTAACAAACCGCGATTCAAGCCGTTGTCAAAGCTCTGCTTCAGCCCAGGTTTGAGAGGCTCTCTCATTAAAAGAAATTGTGAGTACGAGTTTGAATCACCGATTTTATGGGGCCAACGAGGACTTTGTGGGCTTAAAAGGAACCGGGAAGCGCGGGAATTTCGTACGTGTTAGCAGTGGTTCACAAACAGGCACGCGTCGCCTCAGCAGCGCATTAAATAAAGTAAATGATCATTTCAAGTTAGAGTGCACCAGCGTTTTTGACCGATCAGGAAACACCCTGGGAAAAGCTGATGTGAGCGTGTGAATATAGGGATAGGGGTAAATTTTAACAAAAAACGAGATTCCATAAAATACATTTGAGTTTACATTTAAAATTTTGAGACTTTAGCTCCTTAATAGCTCATTTAGCTCATTAATAGTGACAGTTTTCGGACATGCTCTCATGTTAAACAATTATTCATGCGCATTTTATTAATACCTGTAAAGGTAAGGCAAATAATGAGCAATCGAATACAATATTACATTACTGTTTATCACCAAACAGTTTTTCAACTTGATTTATTTTTTTGTGTGTGATCAACAAATAATGCCACGAAAACGCAGGGTGGCTAATATGAGTCGGCGAATACTCAAATCTAGAGGCATGTAAGGTAGCAGA